ATGGGAGGATTCCGTTACTTTCTCTTGTTTGTGGATGATTATACACGATATTCTTGGATATATTTGATGAGATCACGTGATGAGGTTCCTAACTTAGTACRACAATTCCAYYAGATGGTTYTCACACAATTTRGAGTGAGAACTAAGGTTTTTAGATCAGATAATGCCAGAGAGTACTTTGAGAAAGACCTAACCACGTATCTCTTAGAACATGGTGTAGTTCATCARARCAGTTGTGCATATACAYCGYAAHARAATGGAGTTGCTGAGAGGAAAAACAGACACATTGTGGAGGTGGCAAGGAGTCTTGTGGTGTGTGCTTCAGTTCCTGTGCAGTTCTGGGGAGATGCAGTTCTTACAGCCGTACATGTGATTAATTGTGTTCCTTCACGGACTTTGGGGTTTAAGGTGCCATTTAGCCTTCTTTTTCTAGATGGAGAGATATTTTATATACCTCTGAGGGTTTTTGGTTGTGTTTCTTTTGTTCACATTCTTGGCCCTCATCGCAAGAAATTGGTTCCTAAGGCCAAGAAATGTGTTTTTCTTGGGTATGCTCAGAACTAAAAGGGGTATTGCTGTTATGACCCAGTGTCGAGGAGCAGATCTGTCACTATGGATGTTACCTTTTTTGAATCCACATTCTTCTTCTCGAGTGGTTCTCCTTAGGGGGAGAGTTTTGAGGAGGAGAACTCACAATCTGTTCCTCTTCCTGTTTCTGTGGTTTCTCCATCAGTTCAACCAACATCTACATCAGTTCAGCCACCACCTGCACATCAATTCAGCCAGCATCGGTTCAACCAGCACCTGCACCTCCAGTTTCATTACCTGAGCCACTACGGGCAGCCTCACAACAATATCAGCACCAGCAGATGATGGTTGACTCCACACATCCTCGACCCACACCACTCTCTGTCAGTCCTTCTGAAACTCCAGATTCGGCATATACATTTCCAGGTATTCCTCTTGAGCCTATTATGTTTTCTGATGATAATGTTTCTGTCCCTAACACCATTGTTGCAGCTAATCCCACTGACCTTGATCTTCCCATTGCACTTTGTAAGGGGAAGAAAAAGTGTACAGCCCACTGCATTTCACACCATCTTTCCTACAGTGCCTTATCACCCTCCTACCATGCTTTTCTTTCTTCCCTGGATTCTGTGTCTATACCCAGGAATGTTACTAAGTCTCTCTCCAAACCTGAGTGGAAAACAGCCATGCAAGATGAGATGGATGCTTTGGTCAAAAACCNAAAAGAGATGCAGGTTGATACTCAAACTAAACTAGCTGAACAGTCTGTGGAACATTCGGCCCTAATCTCTACAAATCAAARRGRRAACARGYACTCKGACAAGAGACATCTGAAGTGCACCCACTGTGGAGGAGAAAGGCATGTGAAAGAGACTTGTTGGGTTCTCTATCCGCATCTGAAGCCAGCTGCATTGAGGAAAGATAAGAAGCATCAGAAGGGTCAACCTGCAAGTGGGAATCTGGCTGCGAGTCACAGTGATGATAGTTCAAAACACTCATCCACAGTTACTTCCTCTTCCATGGGACAAACTACTAATTCCCTTGGAACCGGGTCCTTGGGTTTTACTGCCGATGAGGTAGAGGTTCTTAACCGGGCCCTAGCCCGTCTAAGGACCAATTCTCTTGCTTCCACCTCCCTTGCCAGATCAGGTACTGTCTTTGCCTTCAGTGCAACTAGTACTATTGATCCTGCCTCTTGGATTATTGATTCTGGTGCAACTGACCACATGACACACATGTCTTCTCTATTTTCTTCCTATCATTTAATGTCTAGCCAAGATAAGATGAGGGTTGCCGATGGTTCTCTCTCTACCATCTCTGGGAAAGGAGTGGTTGACCTAAGCAAGGACCTCTCACTCAAATCTGTCTTGCAAGTTCCCAATCTTTCTTCAAATCTCTTATCTGTTTCAAAGCTTACCAAAAATTTGAATTGTAGCATAACCTTTTTTCCTATTCATTGTGTCTTTCAGGACAAATTGATGAAGAAAACGATTGTGAGCAGTCATGAGTGTGGAGGTCTCTACTACCTTGATGCAGACATCAGTTCGGCCTTACAAACATCTGCTACTAGTAGTCAGTCCAATGTGGAGTTAATAGCTAGGTTACATCTGTGGCATGCTAGGCTAGGTCATTTACCATTTTCATCATTGGAAGTGTTGTTTCCAKAATTATTCAAAGGTGTTTCAAGTCAAGAGTTAGTTTGTGAAGTCTGTCAACTATCAAAGCAATGTAGAACTGTTTATTCAACTTCTAGTAATGAAATTCAAGCTTCTTTTGACTTAGTCCACTCTGATGTTTGGGACCCCTCTCCCATTATTTTTGTTGATGGCTTCCGATACTTTATCAGTTTTATTGATCATTATTCCCGATGCACATGGATCTACTTATTCAAAGCACGAGATGAAGTGTCGCGGGTAACCATGACATTTTGCAAAATGATTGAAACACAATTTGGCAAGAAAATCAAACAATTCAGGTCTGATAATGCTGCTGAATATTTTGAAAGGTCCTTGAATCTGTTTATGGAGGATGCTGGAATGATTCATCAGTCATCTTGTGCTAGTACCCCCCAACA